GAAATCAAAGTAAGCAAGCAAATTTGGTCCAAACATCTCGTTTCTATCAATAATCGCTACAAAATCTTTACATATTGTGTAAGATGGTACGACAATCATTTTTTTTTCGTAAGCTTTGATTCTTTGTTTCAGATGGATACATCTATTTATGAAGAAACTTCACGTTTTTCGTTATTTTGTGTAGATGAGCAATTTGTACGTTTATTTTTTTTAATTGAATCAGAACAATTACTACCCGTCCTTTCGTTTCAAAACTATTAACTATCCTAGTGGTTAACGAGTTTCCAGACAGCGATCTCCGAGAGTTTTCAAATAATCGATGAATTCTACTCGATGAACTGGATGAACCATCATAATGAATAGACAAAGAAGAAGACCTGATGGAAATGCAGGACACAACGGACTCAAAGTTTGTGTGAGAAATGTGTTCTCCACGCTATAATATTGGTATCTCCAAACTTTTACATAAACTCCAAATAAATTTGGACCTAAAAATGTCAATGAACGTCGCGTTTCGTTATTCCAGTTACATTCAAGACAGAGCTCTTTTACGTTGTCACCTCAGGATTCACCTCCTTCGGTAAACAATCGCACTTTCAGATACACTTCCGATATCGAGTGAGCATTCTCTAATCCAATAAGCACAAGTTTAGCAATATAATGTCTGTATGATTGTTCCAAATGACAGTAGAATGAATTCGACAATATATAATTGATTTTTGACAAAATTGTAGGAGCAACGGGTTGATTTTGACGTGTCAAATCTTCCCATGACTCTAAAATATCGCTCACCATATATTGTCTAAACTGAATTGTTGCATCGACCAACTGTTCAAATTTGCATTTATTATCCGAGATTTGTCCTTCAAGTCTCAAAAAATATAACATTTTCTAACTCATGACATCCTCAACATTTCTAGAATATAATCCATAACGAGATATATACAAATCTCGCCAGAATAATTTTTCATTTAATATTGTATACCATCGTTTACATACAAGTTCCATCGAATAAAAGTCGATTGTGTGAGTGATATTTTGAAGAATTCTTTGCATAGGAATTTCGTGTAACTCTAGAAATAAATGATAATTTTCAAGCTCGAATACGATACATTGACGATGTAACTGGTGTTTATATTTGAATTTCTCGCATTGAATATCAATTCAATTGTCAATGATAAAATTGGTTAACCATAGTGGACCTTGAGTGCAAATATATTCAAAGCCGGTAAGAATATCATCAGCTACTGACATTGACATAGCTGCTTGATACACAAATGCTATTTGTTTGTCTGTGTCCAATTGAAAAAAATCATTTCGACTGATACTTGTCTTTTTCTGATCATTAGATGGGCTAATAACAAAATTATCCGTATCGAGAGGACGTTTCCCATGAATTTTCTCATTATGCTGAATAATTAAATCACACAAAATCTTGTCACTATCGGCAAGAGGTTCAGCTATTGTCAGAAGTTTTCGATAGACTTTAGCTTTTTCTACCCACTGATGCGAATAGTAGAGTGTATATTTTTTTCAATAGTAATATTAGCTTCACGGTAGCATTTTTAAAAATGCTTTGTTTTAATTCCCCTGGTAACCATACATATATGTATGTGTTGGTCCATCTTTCCAAATGATCTAATAGATATGCTGTGTAGGATGTTGGCGACCTTGGAATGATAAAATCGTATTTTGTTGTATCATGCACAGAACAATAGACATAGAGATCTAAATGGTCGCCATCATTCAATTTCGGAACGATTATATCAATGCTTTGGATTACTTCATGCTTTTTACATAGCCATTTCAATAGACAATTGAAAGAGCAAATAAAATTCCAATCGGCATTCTTAGCGTCTGTTATTCCTCGAAAATTAACTAACTACTCACGAGTAGCCCGAGAACCGATTAAAATACCATTGTTTGATTGAACCACGAAAGAATTCTGCTCGAGTATGGACAGAACTTCTGACTGAATGGATGTACGACAAATTTCACAGTGTTCAAATGATGCCAACATAATGCCCAAAGTCAGCGTGTAATTTTCAAAGATAAATAGCAATCTATAATGATTTTTTATAGTCATTCAAAAATAAAACTTTTCTCTTCTATGCAATTCAGGAATGAAAGAAGGGAAGGATCCAATATATTTTCAAGTATAATTCCATAGGTAACAACGATTCGAGTTTTTATCCGGCATGTGACTCATACTCATTTGTATAGTCACAATAAATTCATCCTTTCGCTTCGTGGAGTAACGACAAAGTCAGTTGAAGCGAATGCATTACGAGTTCTTCTTCTTCTTCCAAGTTGCAGAAAAAAATAAATTGAAAAATTAACAGTTTGAGGTATGTATTCTTTATTCACAGAATGTGTGTTCTGATTTGTCATAAGCACAATGCGAATACCTTGCGATTTTGATTGGCAAAAAAAATAAGACAACATAAAGTTGCTTTAAAATGTTTGAGATGTTCTTGCCGAAGAAACGATGAATTCGATCAGTATTTGACACAGTTTAGTTGGTTTTGTTTAATGACAGCACCTTTGCCAGAGTGCACTACTGGCATAATCAAGATTTGGAATTTTTCACCATCTCAAGATAAATTCGTTCATCTTCATACTCGCATCGGTCCTTGCTCTTTTCATATAGTAATAAATATTTCTACTATACTGAGGCATATGTCGTCAGATAGAACAACCTATTTCTGCAAAGCAACCTCTCTTCTGAAAAGAGATGAAGTTCTTCCTAAGAGTCTCATAGCTTCCTTTCATATAGAAATTGTAAGTGAATGTTGTCAGCAGCCATTGAGAGCGAAACGAAATCTAACCTATTGACTTAGTGACCTTGATTCGGTCAAAGATTCAGATTTGCTACTACTTCGTTAAAGTTCAGAAATTGTTCGCCTTTCCTTCAGATAGTGTGTCTATTACGTGCTGTGAGAGTATGTGTATGGGTCTTCCTGCCTGTGACAAGAATACTCCACATCACCACACACACACCATAAAACAAACGAAAGTTGATTTTAAATGAAAAGAACAAGAGTATTTTTTCTCGTGTCGTTAAAATCGTGGAGATTTTAGCGATATTCAAAAATAATCGGCCTAAAGTCATGATTAATAGTATTTTATGAAAAAATCAATGATATAATCAAATTTTACTGTGATTATGATACCAGGAACAATTTTTCAAAAATTGATGCTAAATAAGAGTAATAAATCATAATTAATTACTGATTTCAGTAACTGAGTGTAAATGATTAATTGAGCAAGATAATATTATAAGATTTGTAGAATAAAGAGTCCAATGTAATTTGAATACATTTTTTAGCTATAATCGTGGGGATTTGAAACAAAAGACAAGATTTACTTGTGGCACGAATGTCATTACTATGATATTAACAAAACTGAACAATTTTAAAAAGCAATTGAACACAACTTCACATTTACATTCGTCGCATGGACTTAAAAAAACAGAAAAATACTGGTAACTTTCGTGAACTTTATTGCACATGAAAGTTGATGCATTTCAAATTCATTGATTAAAAGTGACATTTTAATAAAATGAATGCAATAAACTTGTTTTTTAATCAAATTCTTGCAATTAAATAGAAAGTAACTTCCGCTTCATCATCCTATATGCAATTTTTCTTATTTTTTTAGATCTCGGGGATTTATCTCAACAGACATTTTTGAAAACATAGATAATTTCGGATATGTTTTCAAATGAAATAATTTCTTAATTAGAATTTTTCTATTGTAGATTCAGCTTTAGGTAAGTCCTTCAATGATAGATTAATGTCAAATTGAAAAGTTTGTCTTTATTCTTTAAGGTGACGTCTGTCATCGTCATCATTTGATTCCTTTTTTATTTAGGATTACTATTCTTATCTGTGTCTTAGACAACTCATTTCTTTACAAAAACGACAATGTAGAGAATGATTTCAGAGAAAAACTCAATTCAAAACGACAGGGTATGGGTGAGTGTGGGCATAGGTGTGGGCGTGTGTGTGGATGTGGGCATGAATGCCGTTGTAAGTGACTGTATGTGGATGAAAACAAGTGTAGCACTCACCCACGCCCATACTCACACCCACACTTATACCCCCACCCACACCCACCCACACTCACCCACACCCACACCTACCTACACTTACACCTACCCACACTCACACACCCACACCTACCCACACCCATCCTCAAGTCATGCGTTTTTCAAGAACTATGCGAATGCTTTTAGACAGATGGTTTTCTGATTTACTGGGGAGAACAAGTGCCAAGGAGTATTTTTTGCTATTCTATAGGTGGACGCTTGTTCTGCTTTCGGTAGCTTCTATTTATACAAAATGTGTTCTGTTTTTTCGTTTTGAACGTCAAAAGAAGAATTTTGAACATGGTTATGAAGAATTAAGAAATCAAACCAAATGAAATAGTGTTTGGTAATCTGACTCGAGCTATTGTGGTAAAATATGGTGGATGTGGATATGGGTGGTTGTTGGTGTCTGCTTATGGTCGCTTCAAATACACCCACACCCGCCTGCACTCACACCCACACCCATGCCCAGAGCATAAATTAAAATCTTACTTCTTACATCCATGTTATATTGAAACAGTTTCAGCACAGACAATAATGAATTAACCATTTTGCTTAGACTGGAAAAACAAGGTTCCACACGGAACTTATTTTGCAACGAAATCGAAACCTTCTTAGAGGTTTCGTATGGACCTAAGATGCTTTCAAAAGACTTATAAAGAGTCTAGGATACTTTTTTTAAGGTTTCGTTGCAAATCTCGAAACCATTTTTGGCACTTTTGGGTTCCGTATGGAACCTTTTTTTTTTCAGTGTAGCCTACTAGACTTCTATTCTCGTTCGTCTATTTTGTGAACATTAAAACATGACTTCAAAGTCGGAAAGTAGTGTACAATTTACATTTACAAAAAAAATTGCAATCATCTGCCTTGCGTTATTATCTCAAAATTAAAACAAACGAACAAAGAATAATTAATCGAAAACTAAATCCCTTCTAACATAGACTAGAACATAGGCATTTGAAGTAACAATTTCATCGTCCCATGCAATATGTATTTGACGATCATTATAATGATACCAATGTTGACTTGATAGATGCCGAGCAAATGTTGTATAATGTCCATTGAGAAGATTTCCTACATGATTCGATACAGCTACAAGAGTGTATTCAATAGGTTTTGTGTGTGCTGGATTTTTAACGTAATTATTAAGATAAAAATGATCGAGTGGATATTGAACAAGAGTTTGAATTTTCCTATTATTTGAAAGATCGTATGTAAATCGTTTCAATTGAAAAATAAGAATCTTCGGCACAGTCCATAAATCGAGCTTCTTTGTTGCCGTTGTCAAACAATTACATCGATGACAAAACCACTGTCTATGTATATCCAGAATCTCTTCTGACAATAGATGTTCGAGACAATTATCGAGAGTTAAACTTGGTTCAGGAGACAATCTGAATACTGACAAGAGAGATGTAGCACATCTCATAAAAAATCCTTGTTGTTCACTCGTTTCCGAAGGAATTTGCCATGATAATGGCAATGATAGCGATGTAAAGAAATCCTCTATTTCAACTGATTGATTGCATCGAGAACAAGTGATACTTGAATGAAGTGTGCCTTGAATAAGATCAAGATCGAGTATGCATTTTAATTCTTCGAAAAGTATTCCAATCAGAACCATAAGAAACTCAAGTACATCCTGTTGTTCGTTTCCGCCAAAACGTGGACTTAATTCACTAATAGCAGTTTTGAGATCTTCGGCGGTCGTCGAATCATCTTCACCCAACCACATCTCTGTCATTAATTTGACATAAATAGAGCTCAGATGAGGTAATTGCTGTTGGCGAAGAGGTAATATTTTTATTGTTAATTCTCGAATGTTTGCTAAACATTGTACAGCACTATTAATATAACAAGAATTTCCTAAATTTGTCAGACCACATAGACGTTCGTCATTTGATGTATGAACCACCGATCCCGTATCGATGAACTCTTCATCTACATTTCTATCGGAGGCATTACTACGTGGCAAAAGCAGTGAATTTTCGTTGAAATCGACTATTTTGAGAAGTGGTAGTCGAATAGAATCGCGTAGATTATCCATCAATATTCGTGAAATGATTGGTCCCATGGTTTTGGCTGAAAGGACTCGATCTAGAACAAAAGCGAAACGTTCTAGCATATGAAATATCGTTCAAATATCTTTGAATTCTGTCACGTATGTCTCAGAAGATTGTTCACGACAATAAAGCTACAAAGTTTTCAAAATACGGAAATCAGAAACAATTCCTTTTTTGTTTTCTGGATTATATTTACTGTTTTATCGATAAAATTATATGGTTTTTTTTCTCCCATGAAAGGCGACTATAAATTTTCGAATGCTGGGTTGTTTGTCGAACGACACTTTAGTCGACAGACTATTCGTCGAAGTAACTTTGCTGAAAACTTTTTGTCTAAATTTTTTTGCAGAAAAGCATTTCGTCAGGGTNCGAGCGAGAACAGCAAAAAGGGGAAGAGGAGGCAAGGGGGAGCGACGAAAAAGGAAAGAGAGAGAGAGAAAGAAATGCATAAACAACGGTATATTTTCGTTTGAGCGTATTACAGTTTTGCTTGTCAAGGTCGTTTTTTGTTTACCAAACAATAATTAGTGGGCGAAAAAAAAGCAATAAGCTAGTAGAGAGGGATACTGTGAGAGAAAAATACAAAAATAGGTATTAACAAATAATGTTGAATCTGTAAGGAGAAAAAAGAGAGAAGAACAATACAATCGTTTAATTGTTGTTTAGAGGATTGAGTCGAATAACAAGGACGATTTTAGTTTAATTTGACACAAAGTGGATAGAATAATTCAAAATTTATATGAATTAAATTATTTTTGCACACAATGATTAGCTATTTTGTATGAACCATGATTCTGTGAACGAGCACTAAAATATACTATATTCGAAAGACAGAGGAGCAGCGGTTTTTTTCCAAAATAGCAATTGATTTGGATTAAGAAACCACTAATTTACTGTTTCACCTAAACTTGTGGTTTGCGGTATGTTATTAAAAAAGTCGATTTTATTCCTTCAGAAACATGTAGTATAGCGAGCTGTATAAAAATATTTTTGCAGAGGGGAAAGAGTAAAACTGTGATTTAAAATATCACCAAGAACAAATTTTATTGCAAATTAAAATGCGTCGGAAATGGATTCATTATACTAAATAGTAAGAATTAGTGCAATTTTCGATTGTTGAATTCAGAAAATTTCTAAAACTTTTCGTCTAATTACCAAAGAAAAATTTCTTTCTTGAGGGAATTCATATTAGATCTCATGTAGAATGATGAATATTAGAAAGTAATATTTATTTCTTAAGGCTTAATGAACATATTCAGTAATAAGCATGACGACTATTAAGACTCTTACAGCAGAAACAGGTGATGGATACGATCATAAAATAATTTTAAAGAGCTAAATTTTTTTCCATTTTGTCAAAACCTATGAAATGTGTTTTTTTTAGATTTTCTTCATTAAAGCAATTGTGTTCCGTGTCTGATAGCCATTCTGTTCAATTTTATTTTTGATTATTGTTCCAATATTTTCAGATCAGATATCCAGCGCTTTTTTGTTTTCATCATTTTTAATGCGATCAAGTTTGAACAGTATTACGAAAGGAATTTTTCTCTACTGATTTGGAGTGGAATTTTAGAAATTTTTCTAATTTTGATACAGAAAATTTTTTCTAACGCTTACTCTTTAATATTGGTGAATCCCATTTTCGACGTGCTTTAACTCTATATAAAATTTGTTGCTGATGTTATTCGAAATCATAGCTTTACAAATTTGTAAAAACATTTTTACCCACCCTGTATACTTTTGAAAAGAGTACGCATTCATATTTAACTCTAAATCTGTAGTGTCAGTGTAAGTAGTGAAAAATTGATTCAAATGTCAACTAGGCACTGGCGAGAAGAGAAAAATTGATTGTAGTGATAAACGATTATGAATATAATTCAAAAAAATTAAAATTTTCTGTAATCAACTTCTCTTTCTACAGAATTGATTCTTGACATAATGTATCTTAATTTTTTGGTTTTTGTCGTTTAGTGCATTCATATAATTGTCAACAATATTCATCTCGACAATAAACAATTTCATCCGAATGTCAACAAAAACAACAGCCAACACAATTTAATTTTAATGAACAATTATCAAAATCAAATAATAAAAATATTTTTGAAATACTCTTAAATAAAAACAAAAAATACTGAAATATGTAAATATAATGATATAATAATAGCAATAAATAATTTTTTTGAAGATATTGAGCGAACTATGAAATTTTTTTTTGTAATCAAACGATGAAACAATGTATATGATGTAGAAGAATTACGAGATAAATTTCTATTAAATGACCTTGAACAAACTCATGAAAATTCATCGAAATTATTTCACTGCAGAAAAGAATTAACAAAATTTATTTGTTCATTTTGATTGTTTTTTTTAATTTGATTAGAATGCTTAAAAGAGACTCTGAGAGTTTTGATTTTAACACTATGTCTTTCTCTAAAAACTGATCATGAATATACATTAGTACTTATTTTTGCTAATCAATCAAATATAACATTACTTAATGATATTTATCAAGAATTGATTATTACATTGAAGAAATAAATCAGTTCTTCGAATCAATTAGATTCTACTAAACAACAATCGATGCCAAATACTTATCAAATTCAAATACATATAATTCATGCTTTTTCAACTATTAAATGTAGTCGTTTACTTCAATATACGATTCGAATAATTTTAATATCACTAAAATTTTGTAAGAAAAATTTCATTAATCTTGGCGAAAAAATTAAAGTCCTCGAAAGATTTGAAGATATGGAGTCTAGTATTTTCTCGTGATATTCATAAGTTATAAGGAAGTTTTATATTAAGATCCTAAAAAACTCATATATTTTTTGTAGTCTCGTTAATAACTTTTAGTTTCAATTTGTTTTTGCTCAATATATTGTTAGTAAAAGAGTTTATTGCACTCATATCATATGCGTAGAATGAGAAAGAAGTAGATATTATTCAGCAAAAAAAAAGGAAGCCAATCTTCGGTAAGAAGAGTGTTCTTTGAACAATATAGTCAGCACAATTTAACATGCTAGCACAATGTCTATTAGCATTCTTTTTTCTAAAGAATAAGATTTACCACTAGCAACATTTCACTGTCACAATAATAAGAAAATTGCAAAAGAAAAAGAAAATCAAATTTGTTCACAGTAGAATGTATCACTGCTATACTTATGAGTTGAAAGTTAATTTCAATGAGGAGTATAATTGTCTGCGAAGAAATCGTTTAATGAAAAATAGCAGTTGAATATATATTCAGAAGTTTTTTTATGTAATTCGAAAAAAACAATTTAGATCTTCTTAAGAAATGAATGACATTCTCAAGGTCAGAAGTCATTCTCGACATGTATTCCTGAAGATATGTTTTCTTCATTTATAAATGCACTATTGTATAATGAAAAAGTAGCTGAATTTCTAGTAGAAAATTCATCGACAAAGAGATTTTTTAATTAATAGACAACGGGATTTTACGGCATATATGTTCATATTTTAGAAAGATTTCTTCATATGTGACCTATGCGAATGTACACTATGTCAAATGGATCCTATGATCATGAGAGCATTTTGTTTTTACGATGAAGAACCTAAATAATTGTTTTCGGGATAGTGCTGCGAAAAAGCAGTGAAATGATTTCTCAACGTGTTTTCAATAAGGAAGGTATTGTTCAATAGACCAGGATGACGTCGTTTTTTGAACAGTTTTGCTGCTGAAACCCTGAACGACACTGTGATCAGTGTATTTGATGAAAACAAGAGCAAAACTAATTATTAAATAAATTTTTGAGATAAATTTCGAATGAACATATTTTAAAGTAATTTGGATCTTGTATGTGTTCAAAGGAGCAAAACTGATCCTAGATTAGAACAATGATTGCACCAAAAACGTATCACAACTGAATTTCAAATTTTTCAATCGTGATAGAGTCAATACACGGACAATAATAAAGGATGTATCAAAAGTTGCGACTCCTCTCAGAAAATCGATGATATCTATCACAAACCTATATATAGTTAATTGATCGAAATATGTAATTTTGTAGAGAAAGATTAGAGACATCATTCGAAAATAAGATACTTCAAAATGCATAAATGTAGTTTAACGTTATAGTTATTTTATTAATCTCGAGTGAATATTTTTATCTTACATTTTTCCAAGAAAATTTACACAAAAAGGTTTTTTCATAATATATGTATATCTTTTGCTCACATGAATTTACAAATAGACTTATCATTTTAATGGGATAATATTCATTATATTTACTGATTATGATTATAGTTTTGTAAACACTATTCATATTTTTGTATAGATTTTCATACTGATAATCTTATTTTACGAAATTTACTGTTTGAAATTTGTTCTCTAACATGCCAATTGCTTGAATCGTATCTTTCGATGATTTTTACAGTTTTATTAAAAATATTCTAGTGTTCATTTTAAAGCTAATAGTTAATGCTAGATGAGAATGAGATGAAAAATGATGATTGATTTTTCTTCATTATGTCATATTTTCGGTTTGTTTTAAATTATAACGAATAATTCCAATAAGATAAAATCATCAATTTCGATAATTTTTATAACCAATAATCTGAAAATAAGTGGTGATAATTCTTACATTGGTAGTAAATATCTAATAGTTATACTAGAAATAGATATGTATTATATTAATGTAAAAGGTCACTAAAGATATTTGGAATGAGGAATGAAGTCAGCAAATAAAACTACTTCAAAATTATGAAATTATTATAGATCAAACGACAACAGTAAAAGTGAATTATTTTCATTTGTTAAAAGAACAATTAGACATGGTTATATTCAAGACACTCTTATATCAAGAAGACCCAAAACTACAAGACTTATATTAAATATTTGAAAAGCTCGTGAAAAATATCTAAATCAAAGATTAACATCTTACAAACTGAACATTAGTCAATCATCAGTTTAAAGAATTTTGAAAATCTATTTTTTTAAATTAAAATTTTATCACAAAACGCATACATTCAGAGTTCCTAAAACAAAAGTAACAGCAAGATTGGCCAGTAAAAAAATTTAGTTAAAATAAATACGGCAGAAGGAAAAGATCTAAATATTTCAAATGGGACAAAATGAAAATTACAGACTTTTACGATAAGATAGAAGTCAGACAAGAAACCCAAAACACTATTGTTTATGGTGATGATAAATATTCAATATACAATTACTTTATATATATACCAGAAGAAAAATTGAAAGAGGATTTATGTTATACGATGGAGTAAGCAATAAACGTTTGATTCCAGAACTACGATTATTTATTGGTGATTTTTTAAACTAGTGCGTATCGAAAAGAGATGCGAAGAAGATAATGAATGCCGAGTGATATATTGATCTATTAGAGAAAGTCTCTATACCTCCAATGAAATAATTGTTTCCTGATAAAGGTTACGTTTTTCAAGAGGATACATCTCATATGTAGTGTACATCAGCTACTATAAAATTTGTAGAAGAAAATATACCTGAACGTATCTATATTGATGATCAAGCCATGAAAATGGATGATAAATGACCAATGAAAAACGTGTAGATATATCATTCAATAAAACTTGAGTAAATATATATTTAATTCATTACATAATGTGAAAAATAATGATTGATAGATGAAAAACTTTTAGTTAAGAAAAATGTAAGAAAATAATTAGTAGCATTCCAAAAAGATTAAAAGCAATCGTCTAAACCAAAGATGAATACATCACTAATTGTAATTATTGATATTTTTACAAAAAGTTAACCTGATAAAATTATGAATCATTTAGATCTTTAATTGACAAATTTTGCTCAAAAAATAAAAGATAAAAATATTTACTCAAAATTAGTAAAATAACCATAACATTGGACTACATTTATGCATATGCGAAGCGTCTTTTTTTCAGATGATAGCTATATTCTTTCTCAACACGATTATATATTTCGATCAAATAACTATATATAAATTTATCATAGATATCATTGATTCACTGAGAGGGATTGCAACTTTTGAGTCATGTTTTGTGATTCGATTGAAGACAATTTCCTAAAGTTTTACGACTTAATACAAACTTGACAGTATGAATCTCTTCTTATAGTCAGATCATTCTTAATTCGTTTTCACGATGTATGCTTAATCATAATTATAATTTAGTTGTTCTTGGATTTTTACGTCATTTACAATAAAATCAAACACCTTTAGTTTATCTTGATCTTTGGTGTCTTGAATCACTTGTTCATAAATGTTAAACCCAACCAATAAATTCACTCATACGAATGTTTGTGTTATATTAACTTGTTTAAGCAATGATAGTCTATTAGCAAATAAACATTGTCCAGGTTTCATGAGTCCATATGAAAAAAATCTTGTTAATACTATTAGCTATTTAACTAATGAACAACATTCGACTATAACGGCTTTGTTTAGGATACTGTACGTTTAACTGCTTTCGAGCAATATGCTAAAATGTTTCCTCTTAATCAATAATCGAATGAAATATTAAATCGATAGAAGATTTTTTTAATGTTTTTCATACTTCATAAAAGTAAAAGTTCTTTTTTTTTCAGACTGAAAAAATAACAAAATAAGACATTTATATTCGTTTTTATATCAATATTTAATAAAATTTTCGAAAACAATAGAAAAATCCTTCATCATGAACATCAAATTCACTAAAACGTTTTATTGATGACTAAACAATATTCTTTTTCTTAACTCTCTACATATGCCATGAATTACATTTATACATCAATTATATTCATTTATTTGAAGCAATCGTACATTAAATGAAAATAATTTATTATCATCCTCAATAGAAAATAATCGATTAAAATTCTGTCTTAATAAACATGTATTATCAAATAGTATATTTTTACTAATTGTTAAAAATATTTTAGAAAATGAATATTAATTGAATTCAAATCAAATGCATTTATTTACACAATTAGATTTACTTTTACTGTAACCAATTGATTAATCTTAATTTTCAATACAAATTTAGGACTATCATGTAAGTTGTCAGTAGAATAAATGAAATGGTCAGTAACTAAAATAATTATAAAATCAGTAAAGTAAATTAAATGGTAAGTAGAAAAGTCGAATAAATGACTCAAATCAAATGATGGTTGGTATGTGGTATATAACTTTATGTAAGAAATACAAACAACACTAGAAATAACCAATAAAACAATCAAAGATAGTGAAACATTTAGAGAAAGTCGTATTCTATCAAGGTTTTTGACTAGAGTTTTAAGTATTGTTAAAAACTGGTCAGTTGAACGAAATGATACCTCAATTAATGCAAAAATATTTTGCTATAAAATCAAGAATATGTTTAGAATTATGGATTGCATTGTATTAATTGGCTAAATCAATAAAAGTTATAATTTGTACCAGGTGCGGCATAAAGATTACAACATTTAGTATTTTGCAAATATCTCAGCAGAGATCAATCTTATAATCTTGATTCTTTCTTTAAAAGATACACTGTGAAAAGCTCTACAAAACTGTAGGAACAAATCAGTATTAACTTGTTCTGATGTTTTCTCCTGTATTCAAAATGAATAGGTCACATAATAGTGCTACTTTCCACCGTATTAAATAATTGGAAGACTTTTAATTTTGCGAATATCTCGACTTGGGAAAACGGTAAGGTCTTGATCTTTTTTTATCAAAGATGCGTCATCGAAAGTTCTACAAAAGCTATATGAACAACCTCCTATTGTAAAACAAAAAAAGTCTTCCAAATATTTAATACGGTGGAAAATAGCACCATCATGTAACCTATTGATTTTGCATACAGGAGAAACCATCAGAACAAGTCAACACGGATTTATTTTTATAATTTTTGTAGAGCTTTTCACATTGTATCTTTTGAAGAAAGAATCAAGATTATAAGATTGATCTCTGCTGAGATATTTGCAAAATACTAAATGTTGCAATCTTTATGCCGCACCCGGTATTTCAAATTATTCTTCAAAAATATATTATAAATTAACTTATGATTTACAATTGATTACATAAGTCAATTGAAATAAATATAAAAATCAAAATTGGACAACTTTTTATCACTTTAAATAATCATTTGATATTTGGTGTCTGGAAATCGAGAATAATAAAGATTGGAAAAAAACCAAAATGCAACTGTCCAGATTTCTTTAAGAATTATAGATGCAAACACATTGCTAGTACGGCTATTCGTTTGAAATATTGTAAACCATCATCAACAGCAAAACCAGTGCCGTTTGAAAGGAAAAGAAAACGAGATATATCAGCAAAGGCTCAATCTGCTTTGCTAGTACAAATAATTAAATTTTCATTTTCATTATTTTTTCATTCAGTTTTTAAGAGTATATAATGTTCTTTTGGATTTCTTAGTTATCTTGTGTTTATTTTATTTATTAAAATTTATTTCTCTTCTACTAAATTAATCTTGAAACTAATAAACCTTATTTCTTCTGTTGACAAATTCTGTATGTTTAATGATCCAATTCCATTTGTAAATTTTTTTACTACCAATTTCATTTATTTCACTGACCAAAAATCATGTTCCTCAAATTTACCACCAATTATAACATAGCGTAGAAAAAGTTCTACGTTCACCGTTACAAATTCTATCAAGAAAAATATTTAAAAAAATACAAATGAATGACTTCTGACTAAAAGATAACAAAACAAATTTTCTTTGGATTCGATTATCATACTCAAGATCTTATTAAAGTAAAATTAGCACATATTATTCATGCATCTACATGTTCTATTGTTAAAATAGGACCAGAAAAAAGCTTAGAACAGAGAGATGCTCATATTTGCGCACATATTCCATTTCTTATGTTTTTAGACTCCACGTTTACTAAAGAAAGTATAATATAAATATATGTCAGTTATTTTGCTATGGTTTTTCGTACTCAATCATATGAAAAGTGTTTTTTCTTTAGCATCAATGAAAACAATAACATTAGCTGATATCATCCACCATAAAACGTGTTGACGATGATACGTTGATTCCTCGTTTGTGGAACTTCAATATCAAATAGATGAGTGCAGTATAAATTCAATGCTGGTCGACTCCTCTTTGCCTGAAGATACTTGTGAATTCCAAACAATTGTTACCTTTCATTTAAATTTCTTCAATCAATTACTTATATACTATTACATTGAAAACATATTTACAGCCAATTATCCTTCCGTTTATGACAAATACAGGATTTCTTCATTTAAACACATAGGTCAACATTCACAAGCTACTTCTTTCAATCCTTCATTATCTGTTGAATATAGCAAACAAAAACATATTCGTTTTAGTTCGTCAACTTTTTTATTATATAAGTTGAAATCATAATTGAACACGGTAATCATATCAAAACAGTACAAAAAAAGGATAGGTTACAACGAATTAAATAAAAATAAGCACTCAGACATAATCAAGCGAAATAAAAATACACTAGAATCAAGCGAATACAATAATACTTCTTCAAGATATAACTACTATTGTGTATAGATCTTTCATTTTTGATTGACTATTTTGATGTTTTGTAGGGAATCGATGAAATGTATGTTTCGTATGATGATGTACCAGTAGGTTCTTAAAGATTTTGAGCTATAAGTAGATGAATGAAATTTAATAATGATCTACATAAAATGAATACTCATTCGAACAAATACTTACCAAGGAATTGACGGAATTCTCCTTGATCAAGAGTGCCATCAAGATTGGTGTCAGCATTAACGAAAGCAGCATCAGTTCCACTAACAAGGCCGCCTTCCCAACCACTAAGACCACCTGATGAGTAGCCTGATGATTCCCATGATGATGAACCATAACCACCACCAAGACCATAACCACCACCAAGACCATAACCATAACCACCACCAAGACCATAACCACCACTAACACCATAACCACCATCAACAACTTGAACACCTCCACTAACAAGACCAGCACCACCAGCTAAACCTGATGAAGCACTCCATGATTCTTGGCCATAGGCACCAGCACCATAACCAACATAACCATGAGCTGACTACAATGAGGAAAAGATAATTGCTCAACAATAGAAAAGAATACTACACAATTAACATACGATATCTTCAACAACACCAGCAGCACGAGCTTGTGCAACGAGTGAAGCACCATCAAGAAGTTGAGCACCATATGTTTGAACATAGGCAGATGGGCTAGCTGCAGTAACACCGAGGCGTTGGAATTGTCGAACAATACGAGCTGGAGATTGTTCGTATTGGATGATAACGTTTCGTGGAGCTGGGTATGGTGCTGGAGCAGGAGCACGTTGAAGAAGGGTACGACGTTTTGCTTGAGGTCCATATTGAACCCAACGTTCCAAGACGATGTCACCTAAAATGAATCAAGAATATGGTAAAAACACTAGGAAGGAGAAAAAAATGAAATTACTAACGTGGTCGTGGTGGAGCAGGTGGGATACGTTCGATGATGACCGATCGTGGTGGAACTGGTAAACCAGCCAAACGACGAATGACAGTTTGTGATGCAATCACTGGTGGTGGTACTGGTGGTCGTTCACGGAGAACGAGTGGTGGTGGTGTTGGAAGAGGTGGAGCTACTTGACGAAGACGAAGTGGGGGTGGTACAGGTGGTTGAGGTGGGCGCACTTCTCTGATGATGAGTGGCTGGAAGAAAAAAAAAAAGTAAATATTATTATAGAGTTTATGAGAAACAATGAAAATGACTTACGCCTGGGGGTGGGACTGGTGGAGGTTGAAGGAAGCGAACTCGAACATTTTGTGTGTATGTTTGTACGCCACCGGGAGCTGGACGACGAATGATTTGTGGATTTGGATCTTGGAAGAGACCTTGAGCATCAGTAGCATAGTGAACTTGACTAACTGCTGATGAACCATAGCCTGCTCCACCAGCAATGAAAGCAGCATCACCACCATATGCAGCACCGCTTGAGAGTGTTTGGTAACTGGCACCACCACCGACAAGACCAGCATCAGCAAAACCACCACCAACAGCGTATGATGCATCATAAGCACCACCAAGAGCAGCACCTGATGCTCCCAATTCATAGCCTGAAGCACTAGCATCCCAGCCAGCACCACCGCCCCAGCCAGCACTCCAACCAGCACCAGTACCCCAACCACCACCTACTGATGATGTTTCCCATGAACCAGCACTACCATTTTGACCTGCAAAATGCAACCATTATTATTAATAAATAAATAAACAATGATTGAAAATATATCAACATACCGAGGAAGTTATTGAATTCACCAATATCAACACGTCCATCCTTGTTAAGATCGACTTGATTGAAGACAGCATCGGCAGCCATGATCGTTTCGGTAATATTAATGTGAATAGAGTACTTACTGGTAAGAGTGATAAGTGAAGAAAAACTACCACTGGATCAGTGTTTATATAGGACTAGTCTATCATACATGGATGGACATGAAACAGAGAGGAGAAGAGAGAAGAGAGAAACGATAGTATATTTTCGTTCGAGCGCATCACAATTTTGCTTGTCAAGGTTGTTTTTTTGCGCATACGAAACAATGATTAGTGTATGAAAAAAAAACAATAAGCAATAAGAGAGAGATATACTGCGAGAGAAAAATACGAAAATAGGTATGTATAAGTAATGTTGAATGTATAAGAAAAAAAGAGAGAGCAGAGACACAATCATTTAATTGTTATTCAGCAGATAGAATTGAATAACAAGGTTAGTTTCAGTTTAACTTGACATAAAGTGTGTAGAATAATTGAAAATGCATAATAATAAAATTATTTTTTATAGAGAAAGATAAGCTATTTAATATGATTGATGATTGTTCGAAGAAGCTTTGAAATATACAACATACAAAAAGCAAAGCAATTGTTTCTTTTTGTCATTTGCAATTGGCTAGGGTAATGAAACCAATGATTCATTGTGTTACCTGAATATGTGGTTTGAGGTATTCACCTGGTTAAAATAATGTGTTTTTATTGGATTGCAAGTTTGTAATAGTATACTTTTGATAGAGAGTACGTACTCATATTCAACTCTAGATGTGTAATGTCAATGTAAATACTGAGAAATTGAGTGAAGAGTCTACTTGACATTGATTACAAGAGAAAAGTTGATTATAGTAATACTGAACTGTGAATATAATTCCAATCATAAACTTTCTATAATCAACTGTTTATTCTTCGGGATTGATTATGATGATATTATATCTTAAATTCATTTTTTTTGTTTTTAATGTATTCAAATAAATGTCAGCAATATTCATCTTAACAACAAATATTTTTATGCAGAAATCAACAATGAATAAATGCGATTAATGAAAATACATTTGAAATGCTGTTAAATAAATTACATACTGAAATACGTGAATATAATAGTATAGTAATAGCAATTAATAATTTTGTTGAAGATATTGAACGATCTTGAAACTTATTTTGTGAACAAATGATGAAACAATGTAAACTAAAAATAGTACATATTGTACCACTAATACCAGATAGTGTTCTATCGAATAGTATTGATGAAACTAATGAAGACGGAAGCTGGGAAAAATACTCGAAGTGCTCGTATACATACATTAGTACTTGTTTGTGCTAATGAATTCAATATAGCAGTACTTGGTGATATTTATGAAGAATGAATTGTTACATTGAATGAACAACTTAGTTCTTTGAATAAATTTGATTCTACTAAACTAAAATCGATATCAGATAGTTGTCAAGCCGAAGCACATTTAGTCGATGATAATTTGATTGTTAAATCTAGCCACTAATGTCAAAATACTATTTCAAGTACTTTAATATCAACAAAATTTCTGATAGTGAAAGTTTTCTTAATCTTCACGGAAAACTTAAAGCCCCAGAAAGATTATTACTAGTCTCATTAACAATTTTTTGTTTCGATTCATTTTTGCTCAAGACATTGTTAGTAAAAGAGTTTATTGCACTTATCTCACACACGTAGCATGAGAAACAAATAGATATTATCCGGTAAAAAACAAGATAGACAATCTTCGGTAAGAAGAGTGTTCTTTAAACAATATAGTCAACATAACCTAACATGCAAGTACAATGTCTATTAGCATTCTTTTTTTCTAAATAATAATATCTCTCACTGACAACATTTCACTTTCAAAATAGTAAAAAAATTGGAAAAAGAAAAATCAAATCTGCTTTTGTCAAAATTATTGAAGTCAGTTGCTTATGTTGAAGTTTGAATAGTATAGAAGAAATTTATTCACAGTGAAACGTAGCACTAAGTAGTATAGTTATTGGTGCCAAGGTAACTTTAATGAGTATGATTGTCTGCGAAGAAACAGTTTAACAAAAAACAGTATTTAAGTTTACATTCATGGTTTTTTGTGTGTGCTTCGAAAAATGCTTTTAGATCTTCTGACGAAATGAATGCCGTTCTCAAGCTCGAATGTCATTCTCGACGTGTATACCTGAACATATGTTTTGTTCAATTATAAATTCACTGTTATATGCTGAAAACGTAGCTGAATTTCTAGCAGAAAATGCACCGATGAAGAGACTTCTTAATTAATGCACAACGGGATTTTACTGAATATATGTTAATATTTTAGAAAGATTCCTTTATTTGTGACCTGTGCGAATGTACACTATGCTAATTGGATCCCATGACCATGATGGCATTTTTCTCTTAAAATGAAAAACCTTAAAAATTATTTTTAGGACAGTACTGCAAAAGAGTAGTGAAGTGACTACCCAACGTGTTTTCAATAATGAAAAGCATTTTTCATTGGAAACTCGATATTTTTTTCGGGGGAGAGGGTTTGTTATCGGGGACGTGATGTATCCCTACTTCCGGAATTTATTTATAAAATGCCCCTCTACAAACTTCAACATTAATAGATCCGTTCATGAGTATCCATGAGAAAAAAATAGTTCTTATGTATATCTCTGAAATATTATGTTAGAAGCTGTTTGAAAATCAGGTGGTCAGAACATATCCGATCCATTAAACACGAATAGTGTGTGATCTGATTTTTAACTCAACAGTTTGTGAGCATTGAATTTGCCTCATATCACATGATAAGACGATGGGGTCTCAAAAGTATCAGTTTTAATCAGAAGAGGTACGATGAGAGCTAGATATGGGGACCAGAGATGTCGGATGGATTGGGTTAGGGCTGGATCAGAGTTGTAACCGGTCTGGCCCGATCGGACCGGAACGGTGGAGTCTGTTCAACCGGCCAGATTTCACCGGTTTTTGCCGGTTGAAGATTGTTGGCAAAACTTTTTAATTCTTCATGAAAAGGACATTGCGTGTCTCTTCTTCATACTTTTTTAAAGAAAAAAGACTGCAAATTTTTTAAAATGTTAAACCTTTTTTAAATTTTTCTTCTGAATTTTTTTTCAAATAAAAAGTAAAACTATTTACTGTTTAAAAAAAAAACAAACGAATTGTCACATATGACGCGCTTATATGCTTATATCTTTTCTTTTGACATGGTGTTACATAAGTGTAATTAAATTAAGCAGAGAAAAGAACACTAGATATACTTGTACGAATAGAACCATATGTCGAATAAATTTCAACAATTTAAACAAATACATTCATCACTATCGTTGTACTGATGTCGAATAATAAAATCTATAAGCTACGTTAAACATATTTATAATTATTAATTCTTGTTATTAACCGACTGTGATTGAACACTTGATCTACATCTGCATTCTGATCGTATGTTAATAAGTTCAAATTCAATAGAACTATATAAAATAAAATAATTGTTTATTTCCATCTTAATTATGAACATGGATGATATTACGGGACAACAAAATTCAATACAAATTAAAATCCAAAGTTTTTGAATTAGTTAAAAACGAAGAAGATAACAATGCAAAATGGAAAAACGATGCATCTTTAATTGAAAAAAAAATGAAATATGATGCAACTCATGTACTGGAAGGATGGGCAGCATGTAATCATTGTTATATGGCTTATAGAACACATTCTAAAAAGGATGCTGATGGTAAACGGAAAAATTTTGGATTAAATGGTATACATGATCATTTAAAACATTGTAAATGGAAGCCAAAACTGAATTCATCTGATAATCAAGGACAAAACGTTCAAACAACAACATCTGTTGTTCAACCCAAATTCGCTTTTCGCAAAAAGGCTAAGAAAAGTCCGTTCGAGTCGAACCTTTGGAAGCTAATGTATCAGTAATGGAGGAAGATTTTTTTATACCAAAGCACAAAAAAAATTTTAAGTTTAAATAGGAAAAAATTCATTTAAAAAAAAATTTTTTTCCACCTAATTTGTATAGTATGTTCTTATTAGGAACAGTGTTCACAATAAGAACAGGCGAGCGAGTTTTTAAAGTTTAATAACTCATTTATTTTAAATTGAAAAAATCTGAACCTTGGGATTATAACTTCTTGAATGATAAGGGACATTTTTTGTTCCAGAAGTATATCGAAATTTTCAACTTTCGATTAAAAACAGTTCATTTACTAAATTTTTTTAATTTTCTATATATTTTACATAGGCTGTTCTTATTAGGAACATTTTTTCACTTGTTGTTCTTATTAGAAGCACTGCTCCTAATAAGAACAAATTCAATTAATTGCAAGCTACCGCTAATTACTCGATTAGTTTTCGAGATAATTAGATGATTTTTGCACCATCCGATGCAGCAGATATTTCGGCACTCAAAAATGTAAAACAATTTTTGTTTATATAAAAATTTTTTAATAAAAAGAGAAACTTTGACACTTCTGAAAAAATCGTTCTTATTAGGAACATTGACTGTACCTATTTTAACCATGATAAAAATTTTATTCACTGCAAAAAAAATTATGAAATCGCCGGTTTTTACCGGTCTAGAAATATTTCTTAGACTGGCCGGACGGGTCTAATTTTTCTTGACTGGTTACAACTCTGACTCGTGGTTCTGTAACGCTATCATGTGTCACAGTGTAGGGTACACAATCTTAAATAGTTACGTATCGAATAGTCATGTTTACATTATCAAAATGATCTCTCTATTCTTGTGAACATGGTTGGAATCATTCAAAAGCGTTTACTACACGGAGTTGTTTAATTTAGAGAATTGAGGCATAATTTGATGTGTCATTAAGAGAAAATTCTAGAAGATCTGTCTCTGCACTAGTCTAGCATAAAGACTTGGTTATTTATTCTCTTCTTCATCTATTTCCATCTGAATGATTTGTATTGAAAAAAATTTCTCTTATATAACATAAAACTTAGTTTTTTTCAGAAATTCTCTAATGGTGTTTGTCTTTTTGCTTTTGAATTAACATATGCTACTAGCTCAAAGTATCCCCTTCTAACCT